TGGGTCCCCAAGGATAACTATAGGCATTTCAACATCCCCAACAATTATTTTCTGGTCTGGGAATAAAGTCCCTTCCTGCAGCTTTTGAAACAGACCAGAGTTCCTGAAGATGTGAGCGTCATGTACCTTTCCCGGCCATCCCACATTGATGTTGGTGAAACATCCCTTGTGATCCACCAGAGCTTGCGGCACTATTGAAAAATACCCCTTGCGGTTTATGTACTCGCAGGCTTGGTGCTCCGGTGCCAAGATAGGGATATGGGTTCCGTCTATGGTCCCACCACAGTTAGGGAATCCCATTGCAGCAAAGCCATCCACTATGACCTGCACATTTCCCAGGGTCACTACCCTTGATATCAGCAGATCTTTGATTGAATCATAGAATCATAGAATATAAGGGTTGGAAGGGACCCCAGAAGGTCATCTAGTCCAACCCCCTGCTCGAAGCAGGACCAATTCCCAGTTAAATCATCCCAGCCAGGGCTTTGTCAAGCCTGACCTTAAAAACCTCTAAGGAAGGAGATTCTACCACCTCCCTAGGTAACGCATTCCAGTGTTTCACCACCCTCTTAGTGAAAAAGTTTTTCCTAATATCCAATCTAAACCTCCCCCACTGCAACTTGAGACCATTACTCCTCGTTCTGTCATCTGCTACCATTGAGAACAGTCTAGAGCCATCCTCTTTGGAACCCCCTTTCAGGTAGTTGAAAGCAGCTATCAAATCCCCCCTCATTCTTCTCTTCTGCAGGCTAAACAATCCCAGCTCCCTCAGCCTCTCCTCATAACTCATGTGTTCCAGACCCCTAATCATTTTTGTTGCCCTTCGCTGGACTCTCTCCAATTTATCCACATCCTTCTTGAAGTGTGGGGCCCAAAACTGGACACAGTACTCCAGATGAGGCCTCACCAATGTCGAATAGAGGGGAACGATCACGTCCCTCGATCTGCTCGCTATGCCCCTACTTATACATCCCAAAATGCCATTGGCCTTCTTGGCAACAAGGGCACACTGCTGACTCATATCCAGCTTCTCGTCCACTGTCACCCCTAGGTCCTTTTCCGCAGAACTGCTGCCTAGCCATTCGGTCCCTAGTCTGTAGCTGTGCATTGGGTTCTTCCGTCCTAAGTGCAGGACCCTGCACTTATCCTTATTGAACCTCATCAGATTGCGTGGGCTACTTGCATCACAGCAGCCCCACGGTAGATTTGCCCACTCCAAATTTCAGGTTTCAGAGTAACAGCCATGTTAGTCTGTATTCGCAAAAAGAAAAGGAGTACTTGTGGCACCTTAGAGACTAACCAATTTATTTGAGCATAAGCTTTTGTGAGCTACAGCTCACTTCATCAGATGCATACTGTGGAAACTCCAAATTGATTCCCAACTGACGGGTAGCTGTCTGGCGTTGCAAGCTTCCACAGGGCTATCGCCACTCGCTTCTCAACTGTGAGGGCTGCTCTCATCTTGGTATTCATGCACTTCAGGGCAGGGGAAAGCAAGTCACAAAGTTCCATGAAAGTGCCCTTACGCATGCGAAAGTTTCGCAGCCACTGGGAATCGCCCCAGACGTGCAACACTATGCGGTCCCACCAGTCTGTGCTTGTTTCCCGAGCCCAGAATTGGCGTTCCACAGCATGAACCTGCCCCATTAGCACCATGATGCATGCATTGCCAGGGCCCATGCTTTCAGAGAAATCTGTGTCCATGTCCTGATCACTCACGCGACCGTGCTGACGTCACCTACTCGCCCGGTATCACTCTGCCAGGTTCTGGTGCTGCATATACTGCTGGATAATGTGTGTGGTGTTTAATGTGCTCCTAATTGCCAAAGTGAGCTGAGCGGCCTCCATGCTTGCCTTGGTATGGCGTCCGCACAGAAAAAAGGTGTGGAACGATTGTCTGCCATTGCTCTGACGGAGGGAGGGGCGACTGATGACATGGCTTACAGGGAATTAAAATCAACAAAGGGGGTGGCTTTACATCAATGAGTATTTCAGGCAGGACTTCATGGAGGGTTCCAATAAGAAATGGTGCACCTAAGTAATTGTTCTTATTGGAACAAGCAGGTTGGTCTGGCCTCTGATTGATACATGGCTAGATTTACCTCGCTGCACCTTCTCTGTGAGTGACTGCAGAGGGGGGGAAGCAAATGAGTACAAAACAAATCTGGTCTATTTCTTGTTTTGATCCACTCCATCTATCTTTTACATCTTTGGCTGGTAGCAGATGGTGCAGAAGGTCTGCAAGCCATCCACATCTCATGGCTGCTCCGCAGAGGACGGTGCAGTAGGACTGCTAGCCATCCTCATCTCTTGCCTGCCTGGCAGAAGATGGTACGGTAGGACTGCTAGCAATCCGTATCGCCTGCCTGCTCACCATAAGATGGTTCAATAGGACTGACTTCAGGACTAAAGAGAATGACCTGATCAAGTCTCTCCAACTTTAGTCCCTGCGCCCGTCTGCTCAGGTGCTCCTGGCCGATGTGGCCGGGAGCACCTCGGACATGATGATGACGGCTACCAGTCGTACTGTACCGTCTGCTGCCACAAGGCAATGGGTTGATGCTGCTGTGTAGCAATGCAGTACCATGTCTGCCAGCACCCAGGAGACATACGGTGACGGTTACCTGAGCGGGCTCCATGCTTGCCATGGTATGGCGTCTGCACAGGTAACTCAGGAAAAAAGGTGCGAAACGATTGTCCGCCCTTGCTTTCACGGAGGGAGGGAGAGAACGGGGGCCTGACGATATGTACCCAGAACCACCCGCGACAATGTTTTAGCCCCATCAGAGTGCTCCATTGTGACTGCTCTGGACAGCACTCTCAACTCAGATGCACGATTGTTTGCCGTTGCTCTGACGCAGGGAGAGGTGACTGATGACATGGCTTACAGGGTTGGCTTCAGGGAGCTAAAATCAACAAAGGGGGTGGCTTTACATCAATGAGTATTTCAGGCAGGACTTCACGGAGGGTTCCAATAAGTTATTGTTCTTATTGGAACAAGGAGGTTAGTCTGGCCTCTGATTGATACATGGCTAGATTTACCTCGCTGCACCTTCTCTGTGAGTGACTGCAGTGTGACCTAGAGGAATGAGTTCCCTAGACGGGGGGCGGGTTTGCAAATGAGTACAAAACAAATCTGGTCTATTTCTTGTTTTGATCCACTCCATCTATCTTTTACATCTTTGGCTGGCAGCAGATGGTGCAGAAGGACTGCATGCCATCCACATCTCATGGCTGCTCGGCAGAAGACGATGCAATAGGACTGCTAGCAATCCGTATCGCCTGCCTGCTCACCATAAGATGGTTCAATGGGACTGACTGCAGGACTAAAGAGAATAACTTGATCAAGTCACTCCAACTTTAGTCTCTGCTGCAATGTCTGCCCAGGCACTCCTGATCGACCTCACACAGGCGACCAGGAGCACCTCGGACATGACAATGACGGCTACCAGTCCTATTGCACCGTCTGCTGCCACAAGGCAAGGGGTTGCTGCTGCTGTGTAGCAATGCAGTACCGCGTCTGCCAGCACCTAGGAGACATACGGTGACAGTGAGCTGAGCGGGCTCCATGCTTGCCGTGGTATGGCGTCTGCACAGGTAACTCAGGAAAAAAGGCCTTACTTTCACGGAGGGAGGGAGGGAACGGGGGCCTGATGATATGTACCCAGAACCACCCGCGACAATGTTTTAGCCCCATCAGGCATTGGGATCTCAACCCAGAATTCCAGTGGGCAGCAGAGACTGCGGGAACTGTGGGATAGCTACCCACAGTGCAACACTCCGGAAGTCGACTCTAGCCTCGGTACTGTGGAAGCACTCCGCCGAGTTAATGCACTTAATGCACTTAGAGCATTTTCTGTGGGGACACACACACACTCGAATATATAAAACCGATTTCTAAAAAACCGAATTCTATAAATTCGACCTAATTTCGTAGTGTAGACATACCCTAACAAATTTATTAGAGCATAAGCTTTCGTGGGTTACAGCCCACTTCATCGGCTGTATAGAATGGAACATCTAGTAAGAAGATTTTATATATATATATAAAATGTGACCCATATTGAATTTATTTCCCTAAGTTAAGTATCCTCACACCTTCTTGTCAACTGTCTAAATGGGCCATCTTGATTAGCACTACAGAGTTTTTTGTTTTTGTTTGGTTTTTTTTCTCCTGCTGATAATAGCTCATCTTAACTAATTAGCCTCTTACAGTTGTATGGAAACTTCCAACTTCTCTGTCTGTATCTATATCTCTTCTTACTATATGTTCCATTCTATGCATCCGATGAAGTGGGCTGTAGCCCACAAAAGCTTATGCTCTAATAAATTTGTTCGTCTCTAAGGTGCCACAAGTACTCCTGTTCTTTTTGCGGATACAGACTATCACGACTGCTACTCTGAAACCTGTTTCTTAATGAACATCAATAAATATTTAATCTAATCTAGCTATTCTGAAAGAAATAAATGCTGTCCATTCGTTCCTGTTGGGCTGTACTGATACTGTACATGCTATACTCATACTGTACATGCTCTCATAGTGTACATGCTATACTCATACTGTACATGCTCTCATAGTTTTAAGTGGGTTGTGTTAATTTTATTAGGAAGTAATCTATTTTCCCAGCTGAGTGCAGTAGGTAAGTCTGTAAAAATGCAGATACATTCTCTGAGCATGAAAATTGAGTAAAATGAGCTTGCAAATGGATACTGGGGCCTACAGTTACTTCATGTTTTTAAGGGAAAAGATGTGATAGGGTGTATTCATCCTGTGGGCCCAGCTGTGAGAATGTGTCCGTAAAGGCTGTGCAAGGCCTTCACCCATTCAAGGCCAATATTAGCCATAAACCTGTACATCAGAGGGGAGACTTTATCCCTAATTAGTTTTCATTCATACTTCCATGTACCTTTGCTTTATAGTTTTTAGGAATGATTGACAATGTTTTTCTCTCTTTGATGGGCAAGATTTGTTCCTGTAATAAACTTTTTGTCCATTTCAGGGTCAAAGTTAATGATCCCATGGCAACTGATGTTTCTAATAGTCCAAGTCTGTGACTTCACCCAGACATCATTCAGTTCTGGCAAGCGGAGTGAACTTAGGATGTCAGCCAAGACTTTCTGGGGGATTCTTGCTCTGCTCCGAATTTTCTGGTGCCTTCTTCCTCAGACAGGTTACCTTCATCCTGATGAATTCTTCCAATCACCTGAGGTCATGGCAGGTAAATTTTCCTGCATTTGTGCACGGTTATTTTTAGAAACCCACATTTAGAACTCTACATTCTAGTGGTTTAAGCAGGAAACATTACATTATTCACATTATCAGACGTAAAAAGGCAGCATTGTTGAGCAGTTGGCTGTCCCTTTGACAGGCAGTGTGACTCTGAGCAGGTAACTGAACCTCTCTGCTTCAGTTTTTCCATCTGTAACATTAGAATAATATAGTACTTGCTACCTCACTAGGTCAATATACTCTGAGGCTAAAATCATCAATGTTTGTAAAGTATGTAATTGTACAGCTGGATTCTGATTGGATTATTGTGCTATTCTGATTATGTGAGAATGGTTACAAACACAACAGTGCACAGATGGCCCCCTGTACTGGTCTTCAATCTATAAACAGCAAATCTGCCTGTTGCTCCTAAAACACAGGATCTGGTCCAAGAGGTAAATACAGCTGAACTGCTTGATAATAGTGACCATAATGTAATTTAATTTAACATCCTTGTGGGGGGCAAAATACTAAAGAAGCCCACCACTGTATCATTTAACTTCAAAAAGGGGAACTGCATAAAAAAGAGGAAGCTAGTTAAACAGAAGTCAAAAGGAATAGTCACAAGAATGAAATTCCAGCAAGCTGCATGGAAACTCTTTAAAAACACCATAAGAGGGGCTCAAATTAAATGTATACTCCAAATTAAAAAAAAAAAAAAGAGGTCCAGAAAAAAATGCTAGCATGGCCAAACAACAGAATAAAAGAGGCAGTTAAAGTCAAAAAGGCATCCCTTAAAAATTGAAAGTAAAATCCTACTGAGGAAAATAGAAAGGAGCACAAACTCTGGCAAGTCAAGTGTAAAAGTGTAATTACACAGGCCAAAAAAGAATTTGAAGGGCAATTAGCAAAAGACATAAACTAACAGCCAAAAAAAAAAAAAAAAATTAAATACATCACAAGCAGGAAGCTTGCCAAACAATCAGTGGGCCCACTGGATAATCCAGGTGCTAAAGGAGCACTTAAGGAAGATATGGCCATTGCAAAGATTTGCAAAATTGCAAAATTTAGCTTCTCTGCATCAGTCTCTCAACTGCAGAGGGTGTGGGAGAGATTCCCACACCTGAGCCATTCTTTTTAGGTGAAAGATCTGAGGAACTCTCCCAGATTGAGGTGTTGATAGAGGAGGTTTTGGAACAAATGGATAAATTAAACATTAATAAGTAACCAGGACCAGATGGTATTCATTCAAGAGTTCTGAACGATCTCATATATGTAATTGCGGAACTACTAACTGTGGTATGTAAACCAACTGCTTAAATCAGCTTCTGTATCAGGTGACTGGAGGATAGCCAATGTGACGCCAATTTTTAAAAAAGGCCCCAAAGGCGATCTTGACCATTACAGACTGGTTAACCTAACTTCAGTATCAGGCAAATTGGTTGAAACTATAGTGAAGAACAGAATTATCAGATGCATAGAGGAACACAGTTTATTGGGAATGGGTCAATATGGTTTATGTAAGGGAAATCGTGCCTCACCAATCTATTAGAATTCTTTGAGGGGTTCAACAAACATATGGAAAAGGGTGATGCAATAGATATAGTGTATTTGGACATTCAGAAAGCCTTTGAGAAGATCCTTCACCAAACACTGTTAAGCAAAGTAAGCAGTCATGGGGAAAAGAGGGAAAGTCATCTCATGGATCAGTAACTGATTAAAAGACAGGAAACAAAGCACAGGAATAAATGGTCAGTTTTCAGAATGGAGAGCGGTAAATAGCAGTGTCCTCCAGGGATCTGTACTGGGACTAGTGCTGTTGAACATATTCATAAATTATCTGGAAAAAGGAGTAAACGGTGAGGTGGCAAAGATGCAGACGATACAGTATAGTTAAGTCTAAAGCAAACTGCAAAGAGTAACAATGGGGATCTCACAAAACTGGGTGTATGGGTAACAAAATGGCAGATGAAATTCAAGTTTGATAAATGCAGAGTAATGCACATTGGAAAGTATAATCCCAACTGTAAATACAAAATGATGTGGTCTAAATTAGCAGTTACCACTCAAGAAAGAGATCTTGGAGTCATTGTGGATAGTTCTCTGAAAACATCCGCTTAATGTGCCATGGAAGTCTAAAAAGCTAACAGAATGTTAGGAACCATTAGGAAAGGGATGGATAATAAGATAGAAAATATCATAATGCCACTATATAAATACATTTATGCCCACACCTTAAATACAGTGTGCTGTTCTGGTTCCCCCCACATCTCAAAAAAGATATCTTAGAAATGGATAAGGGGCAGAGAAGAGCAACAAAAATGATTAGGCGTATGGAACAGCTTGCCAGAGAGATTAAAAAGATTGCGACTATTCAGCTGGGAAAAGAGAAGATTTGGGGTGGGGGGTTGGTAGAGGTTCACAGAATTGTGAATGGTCTAGAGAAAGTGAATAAGGAAGTGTTATTTACCTCTTCACATAACACAATAACCTAATAAAATTAATAGGCAGGAGGTATAAAACAAACAAAAGGAAGTAATGCTTCACACAATGCACAGCTATTGGGCTTGATGCAGCAAATATTGACTGAAATTCTATATGCTTTGTTAAGCAAGTGGTCAGGTTAGGTGATCACAGTGGTCCCTTCTGGCCTTAAAGTCTCTGAATTCTTCAGGCTATCTGTATGCAAAACACCTATTGAAGATAATGGATATTCTGCATGCTGGGTGGCTGTAGCATTGGACCCTAATTCTATTATCTAGGAATTATAATTGATTAATAACAAACCTATGTCTAGTATATTTATATAAAATGGGCAGGTTGTTTGAAAATATTTTGAGAGCTGAACTTTCCATTTGAACATTTTTAGATTAATAATACTTAGCCTTCATAATATTTTTCATCTACAAAAAGCACTATACAAGTACTAACGAATCCTCACAACCTCCATGTAAGGTGGGTTCTGTATGTATTATAATTAAGGATATGATTTTTTCATGGAGGTCATGGATTCTGTGACTTTAACAGACCCCTGTGAGTTCTTGAGCTTCTTCCCTGGCTGCAGGAACAGCAGCCAGGGCTGGAACAGTGGCAGTCCTTACAGCTGGAGCAGCGGCAGGGGGCTGGAGCACTCTCCAGGGCCAGAGCAGTAGCCAGGATTGGAGCACCCCGGGTGGTCAGGGCTGAGTCAGTCCCCAGGACTGGAGCAGCAGCTGGGGCTGGAGCATCTCCCATGGCCGGAGCAGGCCCTCGCCTGAAGCAGCCCCCATAACCGGAGCAGCTGCCAGGGCTGGAGCAGCTCAGATGGTAGAAGTTTTTATTTTGGGAACAGGAAGATCTGATTTCTCTTTCTGTTCTCACCGTGAAGTTCTAAATAGCCATGATGGACAACATAATAACTACTCTGAAGTCCTAGATGGTTATAGTTTTGTTACAGTATTATTGTCCGCTAAACCATGCTGCTTCTCACACTAAACTGTATTTTTAATACACATATACTGGTCAATTTACCAAAATGTGTCATCTGCTTTTCTTCTCCCTCCACAGGAGATATTTTAGACCTACAAGTCTATTATCCCTGGGAATTCCTTTCCAGTTCTCCTTGTAGAACCGTTGTGTTCCCATTAATTACATCTGGCTTTACCTACTGGATGATCAAGTCTTTGCAACAGCTGGGCATGTGGCCAAATGGCATCAACAGCTACACCCTTCTTGTGTCACCTCGTCTTCTCCTCACCACCTTTTCTTTCATACTAGACTATAGCGTGTATCGGCTAGCTCCTTTCTGGGGTGCAGATCAGTGGAATGCCCTGGTTCTGCTTGCTGGGTCCTATGTCACACTAGTATTTTACACAAGAACATTTACCAACACACTTGAAGGACTTCTGTTTGCCCTGCTGATGGTACTAGTATCTCCAAAAGCAGTTGGTTATGGAACAGCACCTAAGTCAGACATCAGCCAGGTGAAACCTACCAGTAGCAGTCTCATAGGGATTATAACAGTTGCTGGGTTTTTCAACAGGCCAACTTTTCTGGCATTTGCTTTAATGCCACTGCTTTACTGGACAGTTTTAAATGCCACTTCTCAGCACAGCATTAAAACTATTGCAAACCACCTCTTGAAGCTTGTTTCAAGCACAGCTTTCACTGCCATCATCTTCACAGCAGCTGACACATTATATTTTACCTCCATTGGATCAGAGATTAGCCTATACAGCATTAAAAAGAATGGCCTGTTAAGCACCATAGCTCAAATAAATCAGAAAGTAATAGTGACCCCTTTTAATTTTCTCCGCTATAACCTTAATCCCCATAATCTTGCACAGCATGGGATTCATCCACGATTTACTCATTTTGTAGTCAATGGGATAATGCTCTTTGGGATCCTACACATTCTGGCCATCAGTGTTGGTTTAGAAATGCTGAAAATAAACATCCATCAATTATCATGGATCAGACTACATAATCATAGGCCACCTACAATGTTGGTGCTTGCCAAGGGCAATCCAACATTATTATCATTCTATTTTGTTCCTTTGGCATTCCTTTCCCTGTTCAGCCACCAAGAACCTCGATTCCTCATTCCTCTTATTTTACCACTAGTTCTATTGATCACACAGCAGAATAGAACCCTGAAGTGGAAACCCATCATTATTATTTTCAATGTTCTTGGTGCCCTTTTATTTGGGTGCTTACACCAGGGAGGGCTGATCCCATGCCTGTCTCATTTAGAACAGCTCATACATTCTCCAGAATCCCTGAACCATCCAACACACTATACTCTACTCTTTGCTCATACCTATATGCCTCCCAGGTTTCTGCTCAGTATCAATAAGAGAGACCCACTAGTAGAAATAATTGATATGGCTGGAACTGAAGAAAACACCCTCTGCCAAATGCTGGGACAATTAGCAAACAACATTGCTTGTGGGACTAGAGAGACTGATAAAGAAAGAACTTGTAATTTTTTTGTTATAACCCCCGGTACAGTCAGAACAACAATACAAAAATGTGGGGTTTTGTTCAAGAATGAGACATTAATATTTCCACACTTGACAATGGAAGATCCACCACAAATATCCTTTCTATTCAGTGAAAAATGGAGAAGTCAGTTAGGACTATACATCCTTCAGATAGACAGAAATGATCAGAGCTTTTAGTTATTTTAGTTATTAGTTTTAGTTATGTTTCACTTTTTAATTTTATTTAGTTCTGGTGAAAGTTGCTGGATCAACAGTTCTGGAGATTGACACTCTCTCACTTTATTCACAGACACAAGTACAGCACAAACAGTGGGAGTGCAAACTTCCCCATATTGTCCCCCCACTATTACCTTCACCGGTGTTCCTCAGCCCTGTTCTGGATGGATGCTATCTAAGTGTGAGCTCGTTCGATCTCCAGCATCGTTTTAACATTGTTTGCTGCTGAGAGAGGAGAAAATCAGAGAAAAAAAGCTGAAGTTCTCTCCACAAAACTTTCCAGATAGTTTTGGATCAGTTCTTCTCGTGTCAGGTGTATTGTTTTGTTTTTTTGATTTTTTTTATTGTGTCTCTTTTGGATTATACTTTATTTATATGTATTAATGCTGCAGCTAAGCATTCAGGGTCTCCTCCTAGTAGTTACAGCAGGCTCCAGTCATGATATACAATTCATCTTTACAAGCACCTCAGTTACAGGATGGTGCATGATCAGATATATCCTCTCAAGGGACTGTATCATGTCCTTGAAAAGGGAGTGGGATTAGTTTCATTGTCTAGTAATGTCTAATGTTTTATCACTAGCAAGTCAGATCCTAGGAATGGAAGACCCAGGTTCAATCCCAAAACTAGCCACTGCTTAGTCTTAATGTTCATTTAGCTTTTCTTGCTACAAGGCTATTTATTTGTGGAAACAGTATATTTTAAATTGCCTTTCTATTTGGAGTGGATCTGAACCTGGATTCACAGATCCCTGAACTACAGTGGGGAATTGCAGAAGTTGAACCAAGATCTGGATAGAAATTTCACTGGTGACCCCTTTGGATATAGGAGTTTGGTTCTGGCCATTATGGACAAACACTTCCAGACTTTGGGGAAATATTAATCCTGATCCAAACCTTATATGTCAAGCCTGTCTCTTTCAGATGAACCTGCCAATGATAAATGGGACCTGTTCAAATGCCGGTCATACTACACGATGGGCATGGTACATAAAGTTGCAAGTCTTAAATGCCAATTTTACAAGCAGACCAAATAATAGACTATGAAGTTAGTTTATGGGGCCAAGTTATAAAGGGAAATCAAGACCAAGTCCCAGTATGAAGAATTTATCGTTTGCCAAATTTCACAGAAATTTCACAGAAGACTATGTCCAGACTTGGCATTCTGATCAATGTAAATAGTTTTTGTTCTCGGCAAAGCACTTTATGCTAGGGGGAAAAGTTGTTTTTCCTAATTGTGGAAATGCATGTAGGTTATGTGTGTTTGTTTGCTTTGCTGTTTTATGTAACATTAGAAGAAGTTATGAAAACACCTTGATACTATACCAAATGTATTTTTCAGGTTAATTATCTTGTTTTCTATGCTGCTACATATTTCTGGAAAGAATCTTGTTCCATACATTTTGTATCATGGGGCGGGGAGTGTTGTACTGACTTTTCTGAACCATGTTTAATATTTCAGACCTTCCTTGGTGTTCATAGCAGAATTTAGTGAAGTCTCTTCATAAAGAATTGTACTTCTTTTCTATATCTTGGAGTGTATATAACCTCCATCACTGTAATAACTGAAAGCCTTATAACTCTCACTGATGTAGTGAACTATTATTCTCTATGGTACACTGAGATCATGTGGCTTTTCTATGGTCACAGAGGCAGTCTGTGGCAGATCCAAGAACAGAACCTGGCTCTCCTGAGTGCTAGTCCATCTCCTTAATTTCAAACCCATCTTTCCTCCAATTCTCCATTCTTTGCATACCTAAAATGCCTACTGACATCAAGTGGAGTTTTTAGGTGTGCAAAGGATGCACTACGAGCCTCTATGTGTGTCAGATTTAATCTTATCATTTCAATAGCATTCTTCATCTCAAGCATACAAAATGATACACAAATTATGTGTATACACAGGAAATTCAGCTGCTACTGTAATGGACCATGATTACTCTTCAGCACACAGCAACATTACACAAATTAAAAACAGGCAGTGAGAAATACCATATCCAACTGAAACTGCCTGGGGGGAAATGAGGTTAATATACCTCTGTATTATGATGTATTGCCCATTAAGATAGTAACCATTTTATATAATTCTTTCAAATAGCACATTCTGAGAGCTATTTTAATACTGAAGTTTCTTTCTGCCCCCACCACACCAATTGTAAAGTTCTTTGAGATCTTCAGATGAAAGGGGCACTATAAATGCAAAGTATTACTATTGTACATAAGATGCCTGCTGTGACAGGTATTGCAATTTACTACAATATCTTTGAGAGATCTTGCTGTTTTAAGTATATTGTGACGGGGCAAGGCCAGATGACTATAGTAAAGTAGTGAGGAACAGGTATGTTGGCCCCAGGCTAAACAAATCCCTGGTACCATGGGACACCTGAAGCCAATCAAGGGCTAGCTGGAACTAGTTAAAAGCCTCCCAGTTAGTCAGTGAAGCGTGCGTGACAGAAGCTGTAGGAGGGAAGCTGTGCTGTTGGAGGAACTAAGCAGTACAAATCCATATCAGGCGCAGGGAAGGAAGCCCTGAGGTAACGGTGAAGGAGATATTGAGTGGGGGCTGCTGTGGGGAAGTGGCCCAGGGAATTTTACACATCCTATTTCCAAAAAGTCAGTTACCATAGCTTCTACTATTAGGGTCCCTGGGCTGGAGCCCAGAGTAGAGGGCTCCCCCCTCCCTTCCTTGATTAATCACTGAGACTGGGAGACAACAGAGACACTGCGAGGAGGGGTTGCTTCTCCTCACCGCCCTTGCTGGCTTATGATGAAAATGGCTTAGTAAGCTGTGACCCTTGCCTCTAGAGAGAGAGAAGGGCTTCCTGGAGGGTCACAGTGAGCCCCTGAGGCTAGCCAAATCTGCCAGGAAATGTGGGACCCACGGAGACAAGGACAGCGCTTTGTCACAATATGTAACATTGTGGGCAAGGCACTGTATGTAATTCCATGGGGGTGGGCGAACACAGCTTCTCCAGGAACTAAGAACAGTGGGGGTGATTTGGAAAATTTACTCAGGTTGTAACCTCTCCAGAGTTACCACCACTAGGAGAGGCTCCTACATACTGTTTCAAGCTGGATTCTCTAGAGACCAACAGACAAAGAGTGGACTTTTAGATAAATAGCCTGAATTTAAACTGACTCAGGGCCTTCTTTCTGATCCAACAAACTGACAGGACCCTCTGTCCCAGAGGATCCCGAATCCTTCCTGGGAGGGTTGGAAGATCTTTGGTATACTTAGGCTCTATAAGACTGATGGAGGACATTTGCTAAGCTTTTAGCATGCATATAGGACCTTTTATTGTTTTTAATATGTTTTCTCTGTAATGCTTTCAACTTATGAATAAATGTGCTTGCTTGTAAAGGGCTGCATGGTAATGCATAACTACTGGCAATTACAGCTGTTCATAGCTTTCAAAGAGAAAGCAAAGCGCAGACACTGGCCTATTTAGGCAGTCTGGCTTGCTGAGAATATCACAGTGTATGCAGGGGAACTGTGCAACCTGGAAAAAACCCTGGTCAGGAGGGAGAAAAATACAGCTCTCTGCCCAAGAGAGGTGATAGCTCAGGAGTCACAAGCTTAGATTGGGTGCCACAGAAGGGAGGTACAGGTACAGTTGCCCTGAATGGTGACACATGCTTCTTCAGAAAATAAAGCAGGAACTGCTCAATTAAGTTCAATGTAGGATAACTGAGAGGAAAATTCTGCCCTATTTATGTTCTTATACTGTGAACTGGACATGGCACAGCATAACCTGCTCAGTCTTGTGCCTGAAGGTTATGATTGTGGGGAAAGTACAGTTGCATTCTGCCAATAAATTGCATATCTTATTTTATGCTTTCATGCATATTGTGGGGATAATTATGAAAATAAAAGAATTAAAGTTAGCTTAAGTCTGGTTAAGCAAATAATATATTTGCTTTATGTTTGTGGCTAGTAAGGAAAAGGCCCCAGTCAGCAAGTAAAAGAAGGCCATGAGAATAATAAGTAGTATTACTTATTGCCTGTAGTGTGGGAAGGATGTTTGGTTCAAAAAGTAACCAATAAAATAAAGAGCTACAGTAACAAACAAACGAAAACGGTCTTAAAAGAAACAAGCATGAACCTTCCCACCGTTCTGCTGATAAGCAAGGAATGGGGAGGAGATAAGAAGGGAAGCCCTTGGAGGAAGGAAAATAGCAAGGATATACTGCTTCAAATGGGATTTTTGCTCAAGATAGAAAATTAGCTGAAGGATATAAAGAGAGCCATGAATCTGAAGGTTGTGAGACACTGTCTGATCATGCTGGAGCACACTAGGATTAGAGGGTTTTTACTTAGGTCTGGTCTGTCTGTAAGTAAGTATACTGATCAGATGCTTACAACTACTTTGTTACTGTACTGGGATGTAGTGACTGCTTATTTTTAGGTTGTTAGGCATGTTTAGAGCAATTGTATAAAATACCATTTGGCCTTTGGACTTAATAAAGGAATTATGGTTAAATTAATGTCTGATGGTCTCCCATATTATTAATAATTTCAGATATTATTGATTATTCCAACACATATTCTGGAAGACTGTGCAATGGGCACATTTTACAACTTTCAAAATACACTGTTATTTATGTCATTGGGGCAGGACTGTCTTTTACTAGATGTCTATCTAGAATCTAGCACAATGTTACCCCAAGCATGTTTTGCATATTTGAGAGGAAGGAAAAAAGGTATTGTACAGGTTCGGTCACAGAGACCCCCTTGGAACTGTCACCTGATGTGCTGAAACTACCTCTGAGCCGCCCTGCCAGCTTGGAACTCCAGAACCCTGCCTTGTTAAGCCAGGCATGTTAGCAGGCTGCAACACAGACGCAGGTCTGGTCCATGCCCCCAAAGCTGCAGACTTTAACCAAAAACTACTCAGGAGGTCACCTCTCTCCAACACCCAGACACCCAGCTCCCAATGGGATCCAACCCCCAAATAAAGCCATTTTACTCTGTAGAAAGCTTATACATGGTAAACTCATGAATTGTCTGCCCTCTATAACACTGATAGAGAGATATGCACAGCTGTTTGCTCCCGCAGGTATTAATCACTTACTCTGGGTTTGTTAATAAACAAAAGTGCTTTTATTAAGTATGAAAAAGTAGGATTTAAGTGGTTTCAAGTAATAACAGACAGAACAAAGTAAGTTACCAAGCAAAATAAAACACGCAAGTCTAAGCCTATACATTAAGAAACTGAATACAGGTAAATCTTACCCTCAGAGATGTTCCAATAAGCTTCTTTCACAGACTAGACTCCTTCCTAGTCTAGGCCCAATCCTTTCCCCTGGTACAGTCCCTGTTCCAGCTCAGGTGGTAACTAGGGGATTTCTCATGACTGGCCACCTTTGTTCTGTTCCACCTCCTTTAATATCTTTGGCATAAGGCAGGAATCTTTTGTCTCTCAGGGTTCCCACCCCTCCTAAATGGAAAAGCACCAGGTTTAAGATGGATTCCAGTTCCAGGTGACATGATCACTTGTCACTGTAAGACCTCATTCTTCATTACCCACAGGCTGGCCCCCATGTCCGCAAGAAGGCTTGCAGGTAAATAAACCATCTACAGCCAATTGTCCTAGTCAATGGGTGCCATCAAGATTCTAAACCACCATTAATGGCCCACACTTTGCATAATTACAATAGGATCTCAGAGTTAACTTCATATTTCTAGTTTTAGATACAGGAATGATACATACATACAAATAGGATGAACGCACTCAGTAGATTATAGACTTTGTAACGATACCTTACAAGAGACCTTTTGCAGAAAGCATATTCCAGTTACATTATATTTACACTCATAAGCATATTTCCATAAACATATGGAGTGCAACATCACAGGTATATTCACCAGTGAACTTTTTCACTTGTATTTCTCTGTGTTACTAAAAACCCATTCACATCTAAGAATGTGTCAAAATGAATCTCTTTGTCTAAGGAACAAATTCAGACATAGCTACTCAGAACTCAACAGGACTTAACTGGAAGCTTGGACTTGGTTAAGCCTGCAGGATTTGGTCTTAAATGGACATTAGTATGAAATAGGTAATTATTCTGCTACTAAAATTAAACTGGACTTGAACAGCAGCCCAAGGTGCTCCGAGACTATGGTGATGAGGGTAATAGGAAAACTAGAAAAAAATAGAATTAATCTTCTTGAGATGGAAGCTTAAAAAATCTCTTAAAAGACAAGAAATGTGCAGTGAGTGAAAATAATAACCAAATTATATAAACTGACACAATTCAAAGAGTAAACTAATGCCTACTATTCACTGTGTTTTAAAGCTATGGGGCTGCATGTTGCTTGAGTCTGACATTTACAGGCCCTTCCCAGGCTAGGATGAATACTATGAAAGCTATTACCATGTTTAAACACATTTATTACTAGCGGATTTCTAGTGCAGTTTTCCTTGTGGACAGTTTTTTTATTTTCATTTTTCTAGGGAATCACTTTATAAAGCAGTCCTCTAACACTCTACTGGGGTGTCAATAAGCAATGTGACCAGACTGCATTAAACCAGAGATGTGTCACAATTTTTCCAGCACAAGGCAGGTGACGTCAAGTGACTGTAGTCATCCTGAAGTCTAGATGAAAGGTGTGACTTTTCTGCTTCAATAAAAATGAATGTTATAGTGATTTCTGTGTGCATATCAAGATCTTTGAGTTATTATTTATTTAATGCCTTAGAACACCAAAGAGGAATCAGGTCTCCATTTTGCTAGACAGCATATAGAAAGATGACAAACAACATAGGTCCTACCCTAGAAAGCTTGTAGTTTAGGTGTCAAACAGAATGTGACATATGGACAAACAGGGTGTGGGAAGATGTCATTTGCCTAACTAATACTAGATGGGAATGATTTGTAAGTAAAGTTAGGTTTTGAGGAGGGATTTAAAGGATAAGGTGACAGCTTTGTCAATTTTTACAGATTTTTTTCCCCCATGCATTGACGGTGGTGTAATAATTGGGGCCGAGCCCTAGCTGGCCTACTTTAATTGTTAGCCTAACTGGCAAAAAGTGGGTAAAGGTTCATGAATTGTCATAATGAGCTGTTATATAAAATTGTTTAAGAAAAGATGTAAAAAGGTGACAGAAAGGCTGAATTAATTTAAACATAAAGGGTTTACTGATACCACTCAAGGACTATGTTAGGATTATGACTAGTAAACAAGAAGAGGTAAGAACCAGACATTAGGCCTAGTTGGCTGGCAATGTAAGTGGATGGACCATTCTGCACATTGCCTTTTTGCAGCCTTTAAAAAGAGACTTTGGGAGAGAAAAAGGGAACTTTTTTTTTTAACCATGGCTGTCCTATATCTCTCTCTCTTGGCTTTTCACCTGCACTATCTCAACATCTCAACATTCAGCAAAGGATACAAAGAGTCTGAGAGAAGCGCTAAAAGTCTTAGTCCTGTCAAGGTAGAAGGCAAGGGCTCCTCTAATATGTGGAGACTAGCTTCCTCTCTTGAGGTATTAGGCTTCAGATGAAATACTGGTAAACAAATCTCTTGGTTGATATGAAATGCTGACAAGACTTTAGAGAGGAAGCAAAGATGTGGGCATAGTGTGATACTATCATGGTAGAAAGTAGGGTATGGTGAGTCTTCCATGAGCACCCCGAGTTCTCCCATTCTTCTGGACGAGATGATGGCTATTAGAAATGGTCATAAGGGAGAGGTGGGAGAAAGAATAGGTAGGCATTGGTTCAAATGGGGTTTTCTTAAGGCTGGAGAACCAGATTCAGATTCCATGGTGGAGCATAGTTCCAGACTGGGGGAAATATATTGTACAAGGAGTTTTATCATATTTGGGTGGGCCAAACATTAAACCCCTTCTTTAGGTGAATGGAAGACCATGATAGTACTAAGTGTACTCTGACTGAGATCATTGAAAACTACATGGCACCAGCCTGGCAAGATGAGACAGCCTATCCAGCTCTGCTCAGTTGAGAAGGACCAGTGAAGAAGGACCTAACCAGACCAACCAGATGATGTCTCTGGAGAGCTGAGTCAGGATCCAAATCAACAGATGTTGTGGCCAACCTGTCAGCCCAAAGCAGGATAGGTCCATCAATGGCTATTAGCCAGGATGGGCAGGGATGGTGTCCCTAGCCTCTGTTTGCCAAAAGCTGGGAATGGGCAACAGCGGATGGATCACTTCATGATTACCTGTTCTGTTCATTCCCTCTGGGGCACTTAGCATTGGCCACTGTTGGAAGACAGGCTACTGGGCTAGATGGAACTTTGGTCTGACCCAGTATAGCCGTTCTTATGTTCTTATCTGTCCATGACTAACTAGCTGCCCTTTAGCCTGAGAACATCAATAAAAGTAGTCTTTTTCCATCTTTACTATCCTATCACTTCTCTCCCTTCTGTTTTGTCTACAGCAGCTCCTCAGAACTGAACAACAGACGGAGAGGTTACTTACCTGTACTTACCTGTAACTTGAGTTCCTTGGGATGTTTTGCTCCTATGTGCCTCCACCATAGGATCTGTGTGCGACAATGTACTCTTGACTGGATATTGCAATTAGCAGGGTCCACAGGTCCATGCCTGTGTAGAGCAGCACCTGGTGCTTTCACGCAATGGCATATAATGAGGCGTGGACCCGCCGCCATTCCAGTTCCTTCTTAACCATAAAGCCTGAAGACGTCTCAGCACAGGGTAAGGAGGGCGGCAGGTGGAGTACCCATAGGGACAGAACATCTTGAAATCAAGTGGTGGAACTTGATTAACTTCTTCGAGTATATGTCCCTTGGTTAACTTCTTCGAGTATATGTCCCTATGAGTGTTCCACCACAGGAGACTCCCAAGCACTATCTCAACATGGAGGTGGGTGCTGAGGCAGGAAATCCAAGAGAGTCTGGAGGACTGCATCACCAAAGGTACTATCAACTCTGGATGCAGGTATGATGGTACAATGTTTGGCAAACGTGAACTGAGGTTCAAGCTGCAGTCCTGCAGATTTCCACTAAGGGGATGTCCTGGAGGAGAGCTATGGAAGTGGACTGAGACCTTGTACAGTGAGCTGTCACTCTACCAGGGGGATGTATCTCAGCCACTTTGTAGCATGTAAAGATACAACCTAAAACCCACATTGAAAATCTTTTGAGTGGAAAATGTCATCCTTTCAGCAAAGGATACAAAGAGTCTGAGAGAAGCGCTAAAAGTCTTAGTCCTGTCAAGGTAGAAGGCAAGGGCTCCTCTAATATGTGGAGACTAGCTTCCTCTCTTGAGGTATTAGGCTTCAGATGAAATACTGGTAAACAAATCTCTTGGTTGATATGAAATGCTGACAAGACTTTAGAGAGGAAGCAAAGATGTGGGCATAGTGTGATACTATCATGGTAGAAAGTAGGGTATGGTGAGTCTTCCATGAGCACCCCGAGTTCTCCCATTCTTCTGGACGAGATGATGGCTATTAGAAATGGTCATAAGGGAGAGGTGGGAGAAAGAATAGGTAGGCATT